AACTTTCTCCTTAAAGATCAAAAAGACCGTTTCTTAAATAAATATTATATCAAATGCAAAACATTTTTAAAACATCACCATGAGATCAAGATTGTCCAGAGCGACAGAAGCAATGTCACTGTAGCAATGTACACTTGGGACTATATACAAAAATGTGAAGAGTTACTCACAGATATTAAATATTATAAAAAGTTAAACAACAATCCTGTGTGTATTTTGCAACAAAACGCTAATAAACTAGTTTCTGATTTGGTAGCGGAGAATCAAATAGATCAGTCAGATGGGAAAACTTTGAAAATTCACAATGCAATTGCTCCTAGATTTTATGCTCCCCCAAAAATTCATAAACCTACTCTGTAGGTACACCTAATACACCCATAGCAAGGTTTTTAACTAATATTCTCACAGAAACGTACAGTAATAACAATGAGTTTTACATTCAGGACTCTTTCAGTTTTAATTCTTTTATTAATAATTTAAAATTACCTATTTACTTTGTTCACTAATTTACCATTACACACAATCTTGGTTAGTGTTGAGAAACACTGGGATGACATGTCAATGCACACAACTGATAACTTAGCTAACATCAAAAAACTTATTTCTTTTGTTTTTGACTCTTATGTTTTTATTTTCAATGATTGTTACTACAAACAAATCTTTGGTACTCCAATGGGTTCCACTATTTCACCAATACTTTGTAATTATGTCTTGGACGATTTGATTAAAGACTGTTTCCAACAAATTAATTGTGAAATACCGTTCATAAAGAGATACGTGGAAGACCTAATGTTGGCACTACCTGAAGACTCTATACAATCTACGTTTAATGTTTTTAACCAATGAAACCCACACTTGCAATTCACGTGCGAGGAGGAGCGGGAGGGATCTTTGCGTTTCCTTGACATGAGATTGGATTGGGAGGATAATGTGATATAATATGAGGATAATGTTGTGAAAACACAATGGTATAGAACACCCATAGATTCATAAGCTACCATTCTTACCATGCTCCTAGGATGAAAACTAATTTAGTCCTAGCAATGAAAAGACGTGTCAAAAGGTTATCACATCTGTATTACCTCCAACATGATCTTAACCTTTTACGCAATATTTTTGTTGAAAATTCGTATCCTCTAAGATTGATTAATAAACTAATTTTAATGTTCCTTTTGTCAATAGAAATAGCATTCTTACTATGTCACAATTAGTGCCCTCGGTGCAAAATAATTCTGCTCCAGCAAGTGTGTATTTTTATGCCCTTCCATATTTTCCGAAACTAACAGTTGAACTCGCTAAGATTTTTAAAGAATTCAAGAATATTAAAATGGCTAATAAGAACATCAAAACCATACGTCAACTGTATATGTAGTAAAATAAAACAACCCCTAACTACTTTAGAGACTACAGATGTTGTTTATTGCATACAATGTACTGAATGGCCATCCACGTACATTGGTAAAACTGGAAGGAATCTGTCTAGTCGTATCCGTTATAATTATATCAACCAGGTGGGAGCTTAAAAGAAATTGCATAGTTAAGAAACTAGACAAGCTATAAAAAGACTCTATAATTTTTTTCTTCTAATTTTGAAACATGTTCAACTATACGTTGCCAAATATTCATCCTTTATTTTTTGGGTTTTGGCAAAATATTGTATTCATTCATTGGGCTAGTATAGTAAATTAGAAAGGTAAATAGATATATTTGAGCATATATATTAAGGTCTAAAGAATATCAAAATATTAGAGGTAGATCCTAGTATTTTTTATTTAGCCATCATTGAGTATTAAACGAATGCTATTTTAAAACACCGTAAAAAATTATTTAACTTTATAGGAACATTCTGAGTGATACAATAGCCTTTTGGAACTATATTAGGGGAAACCTTAGCTGGTTAGTACACTTTTTAAATTAAGGCGCTCATATTTTTTTATTGATAGATAGTAAGAAAATATAATGTTCTGATTAGTATTGTCTTATTTATATAAATTTCAAATTACGTAATGTTCGGACTTATCTTAATTCCAGAATTTAATTTTTTTTCTTAACGATGCAAGTGTATCAAGCAACTCCGTATTCGGGGTTAGTTGGTACACACCTTGGGGTTGGTTGGTCAAGACAGAATCTTGGAGATTAAAAAATATTTTTATTATTTTCATAAAAAAAAAAGAATAATCCAACGTAGAACAAGCCCGCAACTCCGCATTTTTCATGTACCCACAATTTGCATTCATTGCACTGAACCCATCTCTCGTTAGACAAACTATTTGACCAGAGTTCAACGCAAATCAGGCAGAAGGTGTCTTCATCACTACTTAAATCGTCCTTAATGTTTGCCTGTTTTCACGTGGTCTTTTTATTTTTGCCACACATTTTTTTTTAGTTGATTTCGTATTATTTTCTTTTTTCTTTTTCCATTCTTCTAAGGTATCTTTATTAGTAGTAGCTGTCAAAATTGAAGATTTTTGTTTTTTGCGACCATGTTGCCTTTTTCTTTCTGTGTCTTTTGGAAACGGTTTCAAATTTTTGAGATCTGTAAAATTATATGTGCCTTCTTTATTAGGGGGCTTGGGGCACTGAAAATTTTTAGGTAGGAAAATATTTGGACCTCTTTTGGTAGTCATCTGACTTTCTTTAATTCTGCTTGGTTCAGCTTGCTGCCTGTCTTCGTTAGAACTAGTTTGTTGGTCTGACAATGAGTTGTCGACACGGATTAAAGTCACTTTGATGGGTGTAATTTGATTAAGTTCCGGTTGATTTCTTTCAACCTCTAATACGGGATTCGGGTTTTCCCTCGAGTTTTTCTCGATAGCTTGCAAATTTTGTTCACGATCTGGTGTATCTGTGGCATAAGCAGCCATAAATCCACTTTCCGGAAAAATATCTTTATTAAATGGATAAATTTCAAAAACCTAGAATCCAACTGTAATGTTGTTTGGAGTCGTCGCTAATGGTAGTGCAGTACGAACTATCCTGTGTATGTCATAAATGGTTATCGTTGCACCAAAATGACTATTTATCCAAGAGTCACACGCACTATTCACATTCTTTTTTGTGGTCCATACACACTACCATTCAGTGGTTGGACCTTACGGCTGCAGTGAGGTGAAAGGGTTAAGACTTTTATGCCGTGATCTTTGGAGATGTTTAGTGCCTTAGAAGGCAAATGCGAATCGTGGTTGTTTATCAAAAGTAAGAGAGGGTTTTCTTTAGATGCTTTGCAGTATTTATTAAAATGCTCTTTATATATTGTGTAAAATGAACTTCTTTTATCCAGCCTGACGGACTAGCAGTTTCAGCGCTTTCAGCCAAGGCATTTGTGGAAAAATGGATCTTAAAATTTAAACGAGGAAATATGAAAATAGGCGGCACAGTATTTTCAGTAGCCGAAACAGCACACGCTAGAGTTACAAGTATGCCGCGTTCTGCTAAAGTAACTCTTCCCACTTGTTTAACACCACGTCTAGGTACAATACGATCAGGTCTCTGAACCGTAGTAATTCCTGTTTTGTCTATGTTCCAGATGTCCGCAGGACTAAAGTTAAATCCTTTAAGGACAATTTCTAGATTGCTGAAAAATCCTTCCACATTTGTTTTTTTGAAACTCGTCGCTTTAGACAAACTGGTCGCTTCAGGCATCCTTATAGCTAATTCAGCATTTCTCTTTAAAAACGATGTAAACCAATCAAGGCCTGCCATCTGATTTGTTTTCCAGCTATTTGGAACTGATAAATTTAAACAAGTTGCGTATAAAAAAGCTAATTTTTTTAGGCTTAAGACCATAATAAATATCTGCAGATTTTTTTATGTAACCTGCGAGGTTGGACTCTTAAATCTCGATAAAAATCTAAAACCAAATATTTTATTAGTATATTAGTATAGTAGTATTTTATAAGTAAGCAGACCATCAAGGATACTATTTTTTACAAAACCTACCTGTCCATTTTTAGAGTATCCAACAATTGTTGAAGGCATTTCTCTTTCTGCTTGCAGTTCCTCTATCGTAAATTTGCGGCAATATCTTCTTAACATGTTAAAAGGAATTTTAAAGTCACCAGCAGCAGACCATAGAGATTGCTCTCGCAATTTTACGGCTCTAGCAGCCGTTAGCATAATATCTGGGGGTGTTTTGCCTCTTTCTGATTTTCTTTTAAAGATACGCATTATAATAAAGGTTTTCTAAAAAAGAAAAACTGCGAGAAGAAGGTCATAGTTAAAAAACCTAAGAAATGGTTCTTCACAACAACAACTAATATATTTAAAGCATTAGATAATAAAATAGCTATAGTCAGAATGATTGCCAGTATTAGAAACAAATAGGCACGAGATATAAGAGCAACGCCAGTTTTACCCGAACGGATGCCAAAATATTAGAAATGTACCAACCAACCCCTGTACCCAAGCAACTCCGGTCTCCCCTACCTATATTTAAAATAATTTTACAGATAATTGATGCTTGTTAACCGTTTTAAATTATTTAGCCGTTTATCATACAGGTACTTAAGAGATGACTCTTAAGTTTGTGGTGAAAAAAGTGTTCCACGTGGCGGATTTTATACGTTTATAGAAAAAATAACTATCTTAAAATGTATAACAAATATTAAAATACTCAAAGAGAATTAAACAAAACTAACTTGCTAATGTTAAAAGCTTATTAGGCCATCCTGGTAAAAAGGCGTAATATATTAATTTATTGTATATTTTTACTTTTTATTAGAATATTAACATAAAGTTTAATGAATATAAAAAAGTGTCATGTAATATTTTGTATTTTAATACATAAAAAGAGGCCAAATAAATTACTAAACCAAAGAGTGTATTTTTATACATCGTTATATCAAAAAGTTGGATGACTTGAATGAAACGGTAATAAAATTACTATGACATTGAAATTTATAATATTATTCAAAACCATAAATGTGTATACAAACTATAATTAAAATTAAGTACACAAGTCCTAAAGTCAAGTAAACTAAAGAAGTTTGTTTTCTTTGCAGGTGGGGACAATTTACACTATAACGAATTCGACAGCAACAGCAATATCAAACCATCTAATCCGGAGCCCCAGAACGCAATCACCATTCTAAATAACGTCCTGCTGCGAAAATCAGTCATTTCGAAGCTCTCCAGATACGATTTACTTTTAGGGGTGGCAAAGGCCGAGGCTTATTTCGCATTCAACGGAGAAGACGTTCAATACGGCATCGAAGCAGACCGTCGATCGAAAATACTGAGGACGTTCGTTCGAAATACTTACAGTTATCACTTGTCGGAAATACTAGCGACGATAGTGAACGAATATACGGACTGGGAAAGGCCGGTTCAACATCCGATTAACATTAGGGACGAAACCCTTGAGGCTTTGTCAGATGCACAATACGTTGCTCCCGTTGTACACACGGCAGATTTGCACTCTGCCGAACACAGAAATTCCTATTTGTATGTGTTTGATTATCAGACTAAGTTTGGCGACTATCCACAGGTGAGTAATTCTCGATGTTTATGTTTGAGGAAAGCTGAGGTAGCTGCTTAAAGTTTACCTAAGTTCCGTTCAGGTGCACTTTATGTGCTGTTTGGACTCTATTATGTAATAGACGATTAGGATGTAACTGTTTGGCCTGAATATTGATTCCTAACAGAAAATTTAAGCAAGTGAAAGCAGTAATTTCAACTTTTTCTGTGAAAACTGGAATATGTAGTATATTATTTTTATATTATACAATTAAATTTCTAGGTATATGTTTGTATGAATATATATATATATATATATATATATATATATATATTAAAATTTTTGTTTTAGTATCGACCGTATATTATTAATAATTTTCTTAAAATATTTTCTTGGGTATATGTCAGGTTCTATCGGTCTGGAATTAAAACAATTATATTTTCTAGTCACTTTGTATTTCGCCAACTGATTGTTGGCTTCATCAGAAGTGTACTACAAATTTATTAAAACAAAGAGATAAGCAACATTACGATCAAATTACATAAATATTTACTTACAGAAGTATAACTGTTTAGAAAAAAAGACAAGACAAACAATTGTTTGACACTTTCACAATTAGACTGATAATTTTCAAAACAAGTTAATATACACATAAAACAACAAAACGTGTATAGTGGACTAGACGAGTTTCTTTAAATTTCTATATATTAAAAATAAGGTAGCAGTTATACCGTAAATTAATATTGACTTAAATGAATTGCAAAATATTGCTGTAGATGCTGCTTAGCTGATTCGTATCTGCTTTATGATTTATTACATTTTTTGTTTTAGTAATATAACACATTTCCAGAAACAGCCTGTTTTTATAATTAGTTGCTGTTTGTAGGATTTCAACATTGGTATAGTCAAATTTGTGACCTGTATTCATGGAGTGTTCGACAACAGCGCATGTGTTTTACCTTTATGGCAGTCACTTTTGTGCTGGTTAATACGTTGTTTTAACCATTGGCTTGTCTGTCCAGTATAGCAACTATCGCAGCCTTAAAACGCTATTTTATAGATTGTATTGGTAGTATACATTATTGGTGTCTTATCTTTGACACGAGAAAATAGACTTTTGTTACTAATACCGCTGTATCTACCAATTCTGATGTTATTGTATGGTTTAAGAGGGCTGTAATATTATTTGTTAGATTATTAACGATCTTTTATATGTAAAATTTTGTGAAGCATCTTTATCAAATGATCCATCCTAATAGTGGGATTACATTAACTTATTAAGGAGTGTCTTCGGATAACCGTTGTTAATAAAATATCTCAAGTAATTTACTCTGACTATTACTTAGAAACTGGTCGTCGTATACATATTTTTCATAGAGAGAACTGTGGTAAATTTCTAGTTTTTTGGGTGGTTAGAAAAAAAGTTTAGAAATCTGCCTGATGCAGTAGGTTTTTGGTACTTGGTCGAGAGTAGATTGTACTTTTTAATTAAAGGAGTTAAAAGTATTTAAGATGGTGTCGACCTGTTCGTTTGGTACCGCACAGATAATGTTTGACAAATCGACAAATTTGTATAGGAAGGTTAGTATAAATGTAAGGTTGATTTTGGTGTTTCTATTCTTCTTCTTCTTCTTGTGCCGTCTTCTAATGAAGGTTGGCGATCACTTCTTTAAATCGCTTCTCGATCTTTTGCAACGTGAAATATCTATTCAACACTGAGGTTAGTCCAATCTCTGATATTCCTCAGCCAAGATTTCTTCTTTCTTCCAAGCCTTTTCTTTCCTCTACTCTACCTTGCACGATGACTTGTAGCAGAGAGTATTTATCGTTTCGGAGTATGTGGCCCAGATACGATGTTTTTCTTATTTTAATTGTGTTCATAAGCTTTCTGCCATGTCCAACTCGTCTTAACACTTCCTCATTTGAGACTTTTGCAGTCCAAGGAATCTTCAAAATACGCCTATATAGCCACATTTCGAATGCCTCCAATTTTTTTATAGATTGGGCTTTCAGAGTCCAAGCTTCTACCCCATATAGTAGTTGCGACCAAACATAACATTCGACGAACCTCAATCTGATGGCCATACTCAATTTCTTATTTGTAAACATTGACTTATGTTTTATAAAGCCTTTTCGAACTATTTCTATTCTGACCTTTATCTCCTGCTCTTGATCTAACTGTGAGTTTATAATTGCTTTGAGGTATTTATATTTGTCGACTCTCTCTAGGGGTTTACCCTCCAATGTCAGTTGTATGTTGTCAACAGGGTTTCTTGAGATCACCATGTATTTGGTTTTATTTATATTTATTGTTAGTCCCATCTTTTTGCTTTCTTTGTTAATGGTTTCCAGGATAGTTTGTAAATCGTCTATATTCTCTGACATTGCGGTATCGTCTGCAAATCTTATGTTATTATTTATGCTTTCTCCAATTCTTACACCTTCAGCTCTTTCCCATAGTGCCTCCTGCAATATTAGTTGGAAGTACACATGAAATAATTGTGGCGACAGCACACATCCCTGCCTGACTCCTCTTTGAATTTCCACCTGGTTTGTTGTACTATCTTCCACCCGTACGACCGCTGTTTGATTGTAGTACAGATTTTTGATTAAATTAATATCCTTGGGATCTAGGTGTATGTGTTTCAATGCATGTATGAGTTTACCATGTTGGACTCTATCAAAAGCCTTTTGGAAATATATATATATATATATATATATATATATATATATATATATATTGAAATGATTTCAATATGTCAAAGAGGATATAACTTAAAGGGATTTTTATATGAGTTTGTTGTTCATGAATTTCATGAAGCCATCACAATGTGGGGTCGACTCTGAAATAAAAGGGAGAAAAGATTAGTAAATTGCTAAATAAATTAATTTTGACTTACCTGGTATAGTGTTAATAATTTCTGAATAGTATAGTTGCCTAGTGTATAGGTGAATCGTCTAAACCTTAAAAGGAATAAAAAAGAAGAATTCTTAAAAAATTATTTAAACATAGAAATTTCAAAAATAAACGTCAGAAAAATAAACTGTCAAAAGTCTGTGGGAACTAAATTAATAGGGGTTTTGTTAAATAAATTACAATGATGTGGAGATGAAAAGAATAAATTATATTAGTATTGTTAAGTTTTATATCTGAATTTTTTTTTTATAAATTCCCAAATTAGATGTGATTAAAGTGCTTATGAGAAATTAATGTGGTTTGACAAATATGTCAAAACAGGACAGTTTTATGGTTGAATAAAATAGAAGACGGAATGAAAAAAGAAAGGGGGTTGCGGTTAGCAACGAATAATTTTGGTGGTTGGTGCTAGCTATGGCGGTTAACAAGGAAGAATAGGTTGTTGGAGGCGACGAAAATTTTGGAGGAAGAGCCCTAAAAAGGTGGAATAGTCCGGGAGTGCTTTAAAATCGTTTAATTATAATTTAGTTTTTCCACATTTTCAAATAGAGATATCCAGAATTTGTTCCAGAGAGTAAGAGAAATTTTGACTTATAAATTATAATTGGAGTGCAGAAATGTCATTTAGATTGAAAAAGTAAAAATTCATGAATTAACTAATTGCGATAGGCCTTAAAAATTGAAATATTAATGATCATTAAAATAAAAATATAATAGTACGTACCTTTAACTTCCGAAGAGAGGATAGATATTCCAGTATCACCGATTATTTTGCGAGTAGTTAGTTTTCTTTAAAAAAAAAATCAGAACTGTTTGAAAGTGAGTTTGGATAATAATTTTGGGGATCATTTGAAATTTTGATTATATTTTAATGCTAGTTATAAGTCAGCGGCATAAAGTGTTCAGTTTTCTTTTCTTTATATTTCATTTAAACACTTTATAAAGTTGCAATAGTCATTTAGATTTAAGGTAATTGTAGAGAGTTTCCACATTTTGTAATCAAATTCTATTTTCACGACACATTAAGGTTTACACGATTCCTATTTTTGTAAATTTTTTAAAGGCAACCCAAGTTGCAGACGAATTTTATTGTTTATATTAAATTTGTTCAATATTAATAAATAACGTGCTTCATTTGGGTTAATTTATCAAAAATATAAAGTAAATTTTGGTTTAATTTCTTTTTGAACTCTACCAGGAGACTACAGAGTTGACGTCACACAGTGACAGATTGCTTAGAACAAATAATTGAGCTAGCCGAGGTATAGTATATTAACAACGAACTACATACTTTTAAAATTCACTTCAATTCAATTAAAATTATATTTATTAACAATAAAACATAAAAATAATAAAAACAAAACTATTACAATTGGCGCTAACAACGTGGAGCCTCTGGGAAAACAGAAATAAGGGTGTTTTTTTTAAGCAGATTTATTAATAATACACAGATTAAAATAAAAACAAATTGGTGTGATTAGAGTTGTAGAGATTCTGGGGTAGTTAAAGTTAAATTTGAGAATAAATAGAGATTAGGATAAAATGGCAGACCGAATGACTTTAAGAAATGGAAAAGAAATCGTACCGAAAGAGAGTGAAGGAGAACAGGTGTTAGAACAGGAACAGGGTATACAGGTAGATGAAGAAAGCAGAGGAGGATCAGGAGAATTTGTAGTACAATATTTAGAGCAAGGCAGACAAGAAGCAGGACAAGGTGATAGAGAGGGAAGTCTAACAGATAGTTTGAGAGAGGAGTTGGATGAGACAGTGAGAGATAGACGTGATGAAAGTGTGGATGAATGTAGAGTGCAGGAGGAGAGACGTAGGGAAGGAGATGTTGGAGAGTCAGGGATGACACAGATGGATATGAGGCAAATAATGCGGATGTTACAACAGATGGATCATAATATTAGGGGAGATATGCACAAAATGGATAGTAATATTAACAATATTAGGGGGGATATGAACAAAATGGAAAATAATATTAAAGGAGAACTTAGGGAAGAGTTAATTAAAATGAGGGAAGAAATCAAAGAAGAAGTGAAGATAGTCAGGGAAGAGATGCTACAAATTACCCAAGGTTTAGAAGAGAAAGTAGAACAGGTCAGAGGAGAAAGTGAGAATTTTAAGAGGAATGTACAGGAGGAGATATCCAGAGAAAAGG